GAGAGCACCTCAGATTATTCACTTACACTTTTTGCACTTTCTTTCTGTTGAGTGAGTGGGAATTGGACACAGTGTCATCACCCTGACTGCTGGGGACCTAAAGGGGAAGAAGGGACCTGGAGGACCAACAGATCCTGAGGCCACTCATGCCGCTCCTCAAGCCCCAAGCCATTTTCCCCAGATATCCCTTCCCTTTACTCCAGCGGTTCTCAACCTGTGGGGCGCGACCCCTTTGGGGGTCGAATGACCCTTTCACAGGGGTTGCCTAAGACCATCGGAAAATAAAAAGATATTTACATTACGATTCATAACAGTAGCAAATTTATAGAGTAGCAACGAAAATAATTTTATGGTTGGGGGTCACCACAACATGAGGAACTGTATTAAGGGGTCGCGGCACTAGGAAGGTTGAGAACCACTGTTTTACTCTCTGCTTGGCTCCCCCTAGTGGCAGATGGGCAATAGAGATCTTCTAGTCTCCCTTAGAGCATGGGGCAGGGACAGTACGCTGTCACCAAGGGGCATACAATAGGCCGTCAACGAAGAGTATTACACCCACATGGACTGAGCAGGAGCAAGGAGCCAGGTAGACTTCTGAGGCTCTGGGGCTGGTAAGGTTACCAAGGACTGGGATGGAAAAAGCTACTCTGCCCCATTGTCTCTCTTTCCCTTTCACTCGGCAAGCAAAAACCCAAGGAACATCCTCCAGGAGGAGGGCCTAAGAAACTTCATGGCAAGATCTGCTTGGGAACATCAAAGGCTGAGGGCATCCAGGCTTCCTGGCAGGAAAGAGTAGGGGAGAGGGGAATGAAAGGTGGTGGTCAGGAAGTGTCTTCTTTCTCATGGCCCTTGGTACATGAGTCAGGGAAGCAGTCTCAGGAAGGGCGAGGCAGTAGGAATCTGTCCAGCCCCCGCAAGCCATTTACTTTGCAATCTTAGGGGCCACATGGAGCAGCAACTAAACATTCGTTATCATGGGTCTTCTGGTCAAATTCAACTTCCTGAAGTTTTAAGGACCATCCCTTCTTCATATTACCCACTATATCCCTGACCGCCACCAATTTGGATTCTACACTCAAAAGAAATGGTGACCCCTTCCCCCATCCGAATGCAGCAAACATGACTGCAAGTCACTGTCCTGTTATGAGACTATGGAAAACTTTCAGAAACTGGCTATACCGAATTTCCTTCAGATTTGACAACTGACATCTTACCTTACTTCTGATGTAAATCGACCTCACATTCGATCTTATCCCTGAAGTAACGGGTTTTTTACACAGGTTTGTCTTAACAGCATAAGGTCTGAGGCAGCAATATCGCCTGCCCCAGCACAAAGGTCCCAGAAGAGCAACCTGAGAACCAATGGCAAGACCTGATCCTAACCCCCACATGCGTTTAGTACATGGGACCTGAATATGCCCATTAACATATTAGCTTTCCTGCACTTGTCTCACAAAGACTTAAACTTCAAAAAATGCTTTGAACCGTCTCTATGGAACATGGAGCTTTATCTGTCATAATTTGGAGCAGGATTTGCTTTATTCTTCAACAAGGAGTCTCAGACTGGCGAAAAAGATCTGCGAGAGAAAAACAGGCCTGAAAACATGGTGGAAAAGTAAAGCAGATGGGGAGGTCTTCAGCTGTAGAACCCTTTGCCTTTAAGCTATGACTATCATGACAGAAGCCACCTGTTTCAAGCAGCATTGTCCAGGGGCCAGTGAATGGTTATGAGGGGAGGGAGACTGCCATGCGTGTTTTCGAGTCATCACCTGCAAAAGGCTGAGCCTTTCAAAAGCTTTACCTGAGAGCCACCAGTTGGCAAAAGACGGCAATGACGAATAGGCACATAATTGGTTAACTCTCGGCCTGGAAATGAGGCCCCACCCCTTGGCTGTGTTCATTCTCATCCTCCCTTCTCCCATTTATATCCATGGAGAGGACAATATATAGATGACCCTGGTGACATCAGTTACGTGATGTAGAGGACTCCCAAAGACATGCGACCCTCCTATAACTGAACCTGTTTTTGTCATATTATGCACTGGGTGCCAAAGGTCTTGTCATGGGCAATGAAAATGAAACACAGCCAAGGCAGCACAAAGGCAAACCAGAGGCACAGGAAGCCAGGGCTCAGGGCTCCAGGAGCCAATCAACTGAAGAAGCATCTGGCTAAAGGGTGGAGGGTCAGGCGAAAGGATGACAGGCTGGCACCCTTTCCTGGTTCAGTGTAATTGCTTTTACTCCCTCCCTGGTCCCTGGTCTGAGTGGTGGGCACTGGGCAGAAGTGCAGAGCTCCCTTCCTCATCCTGTTTGTGGGGGAGGTGCCCAGAAACCAGACTCCTTTCCTGAGGTCTCTTCCGTCTCCCCCCAGTCAAGAGCTAGTCAGAGGGAAATGGTGGAAAGGCAGGTCACTGGGAGAGACAAGGTTTTGTCTTAATTTCAAGCTTTTTAGGATTCTTAATAACCTTCAGGTTAAGGACTACATGATACTAATGTGCACATTAAATAAGCCCTTGAGCACAAAATGCTTCTATTCCGAATCTGGAAGGACTAACAGCCCCAATTTGAGAAGTAAATCTTTTATAAGGGCATTTATAAGCTTGGGGACTTGAAAAGCTTAGCCTTGGTCCAAGTAATCTTTCTTGGTTCTGAGGGTTGGGGAGGTGAGGGGATATGAAATAGAACGTGGTGATGCCTTTGGTTCAAAAGTGATCATATAGCTATCACATGCGGTTGGGTAGCTTCCTTTCAACTGTGCTCGTCCCTGCAACTCCCTTCAGCTTGGGTGCTGCCTCCTCACATCCCATGTGTTCCTGCTGCTGTTCCCAAGAATCACATGCCAGCGGGGACACGTTGGTTGCTCCCACTGGAGAAAAAAAGAATGGCCTTGGAGGTGTTTGTCACATTTTGCTGAGTGTCACAGGGAATTGAATACTGACCTTCTCCCCAGGCTTAGGGATCAGAGGTCGGGACTGAGGGCCTCTTGAATCTCAAAACCTTATCCAAGGAACTGATTACCCAAGGTGGGGGGGGGCACAGTATATGTTTTGTCCAAATATTCTGACACGGCAAACCCTGATCAATTGATCCAATACTTCAGGAAATAGCAGTCAGCAAATTACAGAACTGATGCTCCAAGTCAGCTTCTCCCAGAACAAAAATTTGGGGTGAAAGAGGACTAGAGGGTCAGGGGCACACTTTTCATAGCTCACTTCCATCCCCTTCTGAATCACTTTTCAAGACTCATTGTAAAATAGATATCCGAATATTCAACATAAAGCAAAAACAAAGCAAAAATCAGAACCAGGCTTCAAAGATAAGGGAGCACTCTTCACAAAGCCCCAGAAGCACGCAGCTTCCCCAAATAAAAGCAAGCCCTAGATGATATGCAGAAACTCGCTTACAAATTTGGAATGCATTAAAATTCATTTTTAAGTTTTGTACATTTACCTTCCCCAAATATTTAGAAGGGCTGAAATTAAATACCAAACGTATGTCAACTACTGATGTAGGGAAATTTTACCGTATTTGGCAAAATTGGTTCAAAATGAATTACAGAAACTATTCTCTTCCAATAAGATAATACCTAATTCCTGTCCCCAGGAATAAGAACCAGACATCCAGCAGGCATTATACACCCTGTAATTCAGGTATATTGCATAGAATTATATATATATATATATATATATATATATATTCATTCTACATAAACTCCAGAAACCTTAAGTTGAATAAAATTGCTGCCAATGTCATCTCTTAGCTTAGTGTGGCTAATAGTCTGGAAACAAAGGATAAGTATCATTGGGCAGCAAGACACCTAAATGAAACCTCTGGCAGACAGAGCAAAGTACAGATATGATATAGACCCATGGTCACACAACACAAATACTTTATTAGTTTCCTCTACAAGAGCTAGTAACGTCAATTTTTTTAACAGAAACCTCAGGTCATTTGAGAGGCCAAACGGATCCAAGGAAGAAAGATGCAAATTAAATACTTCAATTAATCAAAAGGCACACCACCACCACCTAGAGCAGCGGTTCTCAACCTTTCACAGGGGTCGCCTAAGACCATCAGAAAACACATATTTTCGATGGTCTTAGGAACCGAGACACCGCTCCTCTATCCGTCTCCAGGCCCACATGCAGATATGTCCACATACGAGTACCCGGCGACCCCTATGAAAGGGTCATTCGACCCCCAAAGGGGTCATGACCCACAGGTTGAGAACCGCTGCCTAGAGCCTTCTACCATGGTGGTAGTGGGCTAAGGAAGATGAAGCTACAGCAAAATAATCTTGTGTAAATGTTAAAGAATACATAGCAAGAAATGAGGTTTGCTTTCCAGAAGACTTTAGTACAATGTTCATTTTGGCCCAAGAAGATATTTGGCCAGGAAAAGGTTAAGATGGTTGAAGGTCAAGTCAAATGGAGAAGGAATAGGTACAAAAGAATCTAAGCGACAGTCCCCAAGCAGAGGGTAATGGATCAGGTATTTTCCTCTCCAGAAGCATCCGCTGCACTGTGTACTGCTGCCTTTCCTCAGCCCCGCCCC